TTACTGGGATAGAGAAGAAAGAAAAAGGAAAAGATTATATATATGTTGGTAAAGATTATATATATATATGTTGGTAAACACATACAAATGTATATGTATGCTAGACGTGTAGCTATACTATTAATCTCTCTTAGTTTATCAAAAAGAAAATTTGTCATTGTTTGGTTGATCACTTTTGTGTCTAGAGTTTATAACCTGAACAACTAGTTCTGACATAACAGTATGTAACACATTAACTAGTGTTAATTCTCTACTTTTTTCTTTTTGAAATTCTGTATTGTTTCTATCATTTTTTCTGTTTTGCTTTTTTAAAATAGAAAAATAAAAATAAGACAATACTAAGATTTCACCTCATACTAGAAGGAATGATAATCATCAAGAAATCAAATAATATCACTGGCATAGCTGTAGTGAAAACAGGTCTCTCCTACATTATTTGAGGTGAAGGTAAACTAGTACAACCATTTCATAAACAAATACAGAGATTACTCCAAGAACTGCAATTAGAAATTCCATTTGACAGAGGTATCTCCCTTTCAGCTCTCTTCCCAAGGAAGCTAAGGACATTATAGTACAGCAGTACATGCATACCAATATTTATGGCATCTCAATTCATAATCACTAAATCCTGGAACCAGCCTGTGTCTGTCAACAAATGTTTGGGTAAAGAAAATGTAGTATATATATGATGTATTATTTCCTTGCAGGTCTTATTTCTGCTGACAATTTTTTCTATTCTTAGGTGGTCCAGAAAATCTATAGCGGCCAGGGCTAGGTGTGTGAATTAGAAAGGTCTTTTTTTTTTTTTTTTTTTTTTTTTAGGTGGTTCTCTGTTACTCAGAAAACTCTGGGCCTGTGTAATAATATGTATGCTTCTCCTGACTTTGATAGAGCAGTGAGGGGAATTTTCTGGGTCTTCATGGTCAGAATCCAGGAGACTTCTTGCTATAAAAGTGTACAGTATGTGAAACTCTGCATTTCCTGTTATGGTTTGCTAAAATATACTAAGATTCAAGTAATAGGAAAGTATTTCTCTAATCATATGTACTTAATATTAATTTATTTTAAGGTTTAGTTGCACAAAATTAAATGGGATTTAGAAGACTTCATGGTAAAAGGAGCCAAAGAAGTAATAACATGGTTAAGAATTATATATGTACCCGTGAATAGGTAGGTATATGAGGTATATGTTTCATATATACTCACATACATGCAATGTATGTATGTATGTATATATATATGCACATATGAATCATAATCACAAATTTAGTGAATATTTAAATTTTTAAACATTACAGTAAAAGATACATTGCTATTAGTCTCTCCCTAAATACATAGTTTCCCTGGTTTTGAACACACTTACCTCATCATTTTTATCACTTCCTGTAGCAATTCTGGAAGTCCCTTTTCATAAGCATGTTTAGTTGTACGGTGGTGGCTGCCACGATATCTTGAATGAAATCAAAATATTTATCTTTCATGGTCATTTTGACTTTGAGGTAGAGCCAGAAGTCCTGTGGTTTGAGTTCAGGTGAATAAGGCAGAAGAGGGTACAATATAATATTTTATCTGACAAAAATTGTAGTACCAGAAACAGTATGTGATGTGATGTGTTGTTATGATGGAGGATTAAAATTTCTGACCGTTTTTCAGGTTATTTTCTCCACATGTCATGTTTAAACACTAATAAATTCTTTATAATATTTAAATCTAAAGCGATGGTTTTGGTCACATAGTTACTTTTTTATGTATCAAGATAAAATGACAATAAACATCACCTTGATTTTGGATCTTTGTGGATGTATTTTTCACATGGGGAGAACTAGGTAATTTTTTTTATTGAGAACTCAAAACCTTCATGTCAGGAGCACATTTAAAAGTCTGACCTCCTATGTTGACATTTCTTAAAAGCTGGGTATTGTGATTGTGTAAATCCAACTCCAGTGACAAATTCCATGTGAATGCATTGTTCGTGATCCATGTTTTGGGGATACTTTAAAACATACCTTCTCTCAACCATTGTTCATAATCAAATGACTGTGACATACAAGTTGAAAGTTGCCATAAACTATTGCTGAGTTTTGAAATTTCAATATGCCACTTCTCATGTGGAAGATCCTTGCCTGTCCACTGGATGGTACTGAGTAGCAGCATACATTGCATTTTTCAATTACATTGTGTGTGTGTGTGTGTGTGTGTGTGTGTGTGTGTGTGTGTACAATTAATATTCTAAAGAATACTTGGTAGACAGAAAAATTAACAAAACAGAACACAGACGGGTCCTTGGCCCTTCACAGAATGTTTGTTAGTGGAATTTCTCTTTTAATTAGTCTGAGTCATATTGGCACATAATATGTACAGAAGTCTGTAGTCTTGCCTCACAGTTTGTTCAAATGACCATATATCAGAATACTGCAAAGCTTTCGTGAATAGTTCATTTTCTTCTTAAGCTGTACCCTACCTAGTAAATGTACTGATAGCATTTTTTCAGGTTAGGAAAGAGCATTAGTGATAACTAGGCAGTAAGTGTTGCATTTTAATTAAGCTTTAGGGAAAATATGATTTTTTACAGAGGAATGAAAAAAAATCAAATGCAGTCTCTTATGCTCAGTAGTCAGTGATCACAGTAATGATGCAAATTATTTGAGAGATAATAGGGATTTGCTGTATTAAAAATAACACTCAAACCCTACTCATAAATTCTGTTTAAACATGGAAAGATAGCATCAAACTTACTGTTCACAATGTCAAACACCATAGTATAAAATCTCTTGTGTCATAATATGTCTCAGGTACCTATGCTTCTTATATTTTTATTGAGAGCTTCAGGAAGTACAATGGCATATGAGGAATGGAGTTACATTTTGTTCATGAATAGAGTGAACATTTTGCACTCTATTCATTTCCAGTCCAATGTTGATTTTCCTTGAGATACCAAATTTTACCCCAAATTAGTCTAAATTGTGTACATATTAAAAATAGTAGAGGGCATTCTTTCCCAGTTAGCACATAGTCATCCTATTTAAAAATTCTCAACTTACAATTCTATTTCAGTTACAATTTCCAGTTAAATCTCTCAATGGCCTATGCAATGTTAATTTAGAATGATATCTTTTTTCACTATTCAAAGCTTGCTTTTAAACTTTATGAGAAGATTCACTTAATGCTTTATAAGTTGAATTATGAAACAGCATTTTTCCCCTTTGACTATAACTATGATTTATTATTATTCAAAAGACTATTCAATATTTAGAATAGGTCTCTGAGACTCATACATATATCTAAATTGGCAAATGGTACTACCTGTACATATATGTATCTCTTGTGAAAATTTATGTCAACAAGAAATGAAGAACTTTTTAAAATGTTTAAAAATATACAAAGTTTAGATAGTTAGAGATGACTTGGAGTTTATTTTAGACTATGCTAATCATTTTTTTTTGATTAAACATATAGTGTATTCAGTGAGAAATGGAGGAGAAAGAGGGAGAAGGAGAAGAGGAAACGGAGGAAGAGGAAGACAAGGAGGAGGATAAATCCAGCAACCATCTTGAGAAATGAGTTTAGGAAGCTGATGAGGAAGATCTTTCTTGCCTTCCCTTACTCCTGTAGTTTTAGCCACTTTCATGTCTCCTGCAGGAAGTTGTGTACTTCCTTAGTGGTCAGAATTACTTCCTGGTATTGACACATATCCAAAGTAATTAAAAGGATGAAAGAGCAAAGACCAAGAAACATTGCATGTCATTTTTTTCATGTTCTGGAGATAGCAGTAGTGTAATAATCATTTAATGATTGGTGTTATGGTCAGATTTCAGTCAGTAGCTTGCTATTCTCAAGTACCTGTGTATTAGGATAATTTACATTTTCAGTAATGTTTAGATATTTTGTTCCATTCTTGCTCACTTATTCTAATAATTCACCATGTGGACACCAAAATTAGAAAATTGCTTAACATATATCTCAACTAGCTTGAAAAGAGAGATAGCTTTTTTCTTTGTACATTGCAAAAATTATCAGATTAATTGATTTTGGCCTATACTCTGTAACATGCACTTATTAAAAATATGCTTTATGTTGGCTCAAAGCTTACATAAACTTTACCTGCTTCATTAAAAACTTTCCCTAATAAATATTATCTCCAAATATTAATAGTGACAAAAGTGAAAGAAAGTCCATCAAGTTCATACTACCAATTTGCTATGCAACCAACACAAAAATTTATGTTCTGAATAAACTGTGTTTAGTCCACAATTAGGAAGAATGGACGTATTCACTGTCATTGCTTCTCCAAAGCATTTTACAAACTTCTACTGACTTCATGAAATTCAAAGTTCTCTTAATTTTATTTTAACAGCTTTTGAGTTCATGGCTTGGCTGGACCCGTCCTTAGAAGGATCCATTGACACCACTGATTGCTTGATCCAGGGTTCTTAACTGATTTTGGTTTTTCTATGACCAGAGAGGTTCATGTTTTCCTAGAGAGATTCATGGATTTCTATAAAGAAAAAAATACTTGTAACAAATTGGTCTACTAAACTAAGCAAAAATGGCAGGTAGCACTTAACAATTAGGTCAGAGAAACAGATTCTGTACACATATTTCTAGATAGATCTAAAGTCAGTGACAAAGGGTGCTATAGCATAGAATGGAAATTAATGATAGGAGTCATTATCGTCTAACTTCATGATAGTTACACTGCATGCATTTCAATTTTGGTGTTTAATCTTGTCTACGAAATACGCATTTTCAACAATTTTCTTTAAGATTGCTGGAAGAAAAACCATTATCTAATTGTATCACACTGTGCAAGCCACCCATACTGCCTGCTATTTTTTCACTAGAAAATAAAGGTGTTACCAGGCATGGAGGAGCACACCTGTAATTCCAGCACCAGGAACGCAGGAAGACCACTGTGAGTTTGAGGCCAGCCTGGGCTACGTAGTGAGACACTGTCAAAAACAAAACAAAAACAAAAAACAAAAACAAGAACAGAAACAAAAGAAGGTGTATTGAACTTTAATGTCGTTTTCAATATCATTATGCTCTCATTATACTGATTCAGAACCAAACTAATAGACTCACGTTATAAGATAGGGCTAGGAAAACACTACTGCATAATAAATTCTCAGTACCATTACATTTAATAAAGGGCTTTCTTTCACTTTATTTTGAAAATAGCAAGCTAATAAAGGAACAAGTAACATTTTAAAAGCTAGCAGAATATGATTGTCAGATTAATTACATAATTATACTTCATCACATGATAACAAAAATGTAAAGAATTTATTTAACATTTAACATTAGCAATATTCAAGCACCCATGGGTAAAACCACCAGTTTATTTGGTCAAGATTTCAACCATGTAAATTTGTCATATAAATTAGTATTTTAACTGCTTTACTTTTTAAGTGGTGAAGGAAATGTTAATATTACACAACTATAAATTATCCTCCTTATAGCAGGATCATTTGTATATTTCTTGGGTTATATGACATTTATAACAATAGATTAGCTTTATTTTTACAGGATATTTGTTCATATTCAGAATAATATTCAGCTATGTTCTTCACATCTTTTTACCAAGGGGAAGAATCACACAGACAGATTTAAAAATAATCAAATTTCCTAATTTTATTATTGCCTCATTATTATATTTTCAGTTGTCAGAAATTCACATTTAGGTTTCAGAGACAGCTATTCTTTACACTTCATTCCAGAAAAATATTTTCACTAGTATTTAAGTACAGATGTGCCAAGATTATTATTAATCTGTAATAGATTATGACCAACAATATATGTTAGATCATATATTTTCCAACAGAAGCAAATTTATAGTGGGTATTTTAAGAATAGCTTAATGTCCAAAGTTATTTTTATCAAAATAACATTTAGTGAACTACAAATGACATCCCTCTATAATGTACAATATAAGATTTCACAGAGAACATATAAGTTAATTAAATAAAAATTTACATAAAGCAAAGATATAACATAATTTAAGATAGTTTAGAGATTCATAGGGATAAAGATTTTTCAGGGCGGGGTTATTCTGTGTAGACATGAAAAGAAAAATGGTAACTTCAGTGAAAGAGTGGGTCAAAAAAATTTTTTTTTGTGTGTGTGTGCATGCATGTGACTGTGTGTATATGAGAGAGAGAGAGAGAGAGAGAGAGAGAGAGAGAGAGAGAGAGAGAGAGAGAGAAGGTTGGACTAGGGACAAAGGAAAAATCCTAGATCCTGCGAGGTCTCCTGTCATCTGTTTTAAAGATGACACCGACCCTCATATCTAGAGCAAATTGATTTGTTAATGCTATTCATGTGCTGATCCATGCATTCTAAAATAATAGAATGTCTTATAACAGGAAAGAATCATACTCCATTGTGACAACTGGACCCCATTTCCTCTACGTCATCCATGGACATGTATTAATTAATTTATACTGACAAAAGTAAATATCGCTACTTGAACTATATCAGATTTGTGAATCTGAAGTTGATAAATCATTCTTTCATTATGTTAATTTTGGATTGATATTGAATATCAGGCTAATATTTATTAGTTTGTTCTTCGTCTTGACGCCTTTCAGTCCCTCCATCAAATAGGCAATGATCTGAAACCATTATAAAATCCCCTATAGGATGTTTTCTTTGAAGAACTCTCACAGTGACTTTAAAACACTAAATCATATCTTATTCTTATTTTTTAAGCTGTATTTGGAGTTTTAAATTTTGTAGACCTGATAAGATGCAATTCTTTTTAAGACTGTGGGTCTCAGCACTATCAGAGTTAGGGCATATGCCCAGCCCTCTCAGTGCGTAATTCCGTGTCTAGAGAAAGGGTTTATTTCACACTCTCAGTCTAAAACTATCCCAACACGCAGGAATACACTGACAAAGTTAACTGTATTAACTAGTAGAATTGGCCCCAAATAATAATTAGAATCTTTACCCCATTTATTCTTTCGAGAGTTGATATATAGAATATGGACTTGAAGAGAAGGTGTGGAAGAGATGGTAAAAAACAGATTTGTTTAATGAAATTATTAGAAGGAACGATTCTTTTACAAATTCATTTTTCATGTTTTATGTTCAAGATAGTAAAATCAGGGGAATGTGTCTGAAAATTGTAAATAAATTGTGGCTTTTATGTGTTAAATACTTTTAGATTATTTTTTATTTGTCTAAACAAGTAAATGTAAATGATTGCCTATAAACAAATACTGAAGCCATAAATTATTTTAATGCAAAACAAGTAATTTTTGAAATATCTGAAGTTGGAAACTATTTGAGGATCATATGAAAAAATGTAGCTTTAATAGTATAATTATCTAACAGTTGTGCACCATAAGTAATGACACCATAAAATGCTATGGAGGGATAAAGATTCCAAAATAATAGTCATGATTACCATACAAGGGATTATCAGGATATCAAAATACACACCACTGGTAAATTTTTTTACTATTATTTTATGATAATTAGTCTGAGTTTTATTTATTTTGTTGGTACTGGGAAATGAACCCAAGAGTTTGCACTTGCCAGACAGGTGCTGTGTCACTGAGCTATGTCCCCAGCCCAAGTCTAAATTTTAAACAAACAAGTAATTGGATGATGATTTAAGAGTAATAAAGTTTATACCAGTCATTCATGGCCTACGACAAGTCTAATGGATTGTCTCAGAAAGCCTTCTGAAGGATGTGATTGATGCTGAATCCAAGAAGAATAATAGCATCTCAAAAATATGGGAAAACTCTTAAACATACATTTTTATGATGTTGCCATGTGGTATTTCTCAACTTGCACTAGGTTTAACTGGAAGACAAGGGGGAGCTGAGGAAACACTCCTGGACACGAACCCTGGAACTAGGAGTAACTATTCCTGGCCACTTCTTTGCATTTCACAAAATACAGCATCCATGGATTTCAGTTTTCTCTTGAGGAAAGCAAAGTGAAACTTCTATTCTATCTGACCTTTAAGAGAGCTTCTAGAGCTGGCTAGCATTCTGCCCGTGTAGAAAATATGCCCGGCATTTCATGCTTCTATGAGTGTGTCAGCTATCTAATGCTTCCTCTGTTGAAACAATTGTGGAAATACAACAAAGTTCACATTCTTGAGTAAGAAAGTATGGATTTGTGGTAGTTCTGCAGAGAAAAGGGTAGTCTTCTAATATGTATACTGGGAAAACATGTGACATCGTTAATCTTTTCTCATATATTTAGCCCCTAGCCATATATATCATGATAGTGCATATTCATGGTAACACTAAAATGAATTTGGCCATAGAATAATGACTCATTATTGAAGATACATTTTAGTATGGGGATTTTGTTGCATGTTTGACTGTGTTAAATTTTTTTCACAAGATAGAAATGATGCAAAAAAGTGAAAAAGGCCAAGTGTGTGACACTGAACTGGGTTTGATTTTTAGCAAAGTACTGTAAGTGTTGCTCTTGACATTTCAGTGGATTCTTTATCATTTTACCTAAATTATCCTCCTGACAGGTCACCACCCTTCTTTATTCCTTCCATGGTAAATGGCACCCTATAAGTTTCATAGCTTATACATATACACCCTAAAAATTTCACAGGCTAGATATTAATATGTGTGACATATAACCTGTTGTGATAATTATTAATACATACCTGGGGTAAATTTTGATCTATTCTGAAAAGGAAGTGGTCTGGGAATATGTAGTTATTTATAATGTAATTTGAAATGTAAGATATTGATAGGCATGTTAATAGAATTGGAGAATATGTGTTTGTCACTTTGATCAGTTATTAGTTTAGTTTTTCTTGTAAAACTTGAAGTGTTAACAAGTCTACAGCTCATCCCCTCTGGATGTATATTGTCTGTTGTGCTGTGTTTTTATAAGATTTTTATAAGAATATAATTTCCCTGGCTTCTTTCCAATAGCACTAATGTTGACATTAGGACAGTAAATTGTTCCAGTAATCAAGGGAGTAATGTGCTCATGCTTTTCTGCAAGGTTATTTGAGATATTAGCCAAATAATGAATAGACATCAATCTGTCTGATACATTTTTAATATCTACTATAAAGATACCACATGCAGTAAATTGGATCTGTAGAAACTACTACTAACAGTGTAAAGATATTTTTCAGGCCACTGTTTCTATATTAGATAGAACATAGTAGAGGCCAATCATTTTATAGGTGAAAAATGTTTTTCAAACAGAACTGCCCAATAAAGACAGTAAAGACTTGCACAAGATACTAGCACTAGTGCTGTGGCTACTAGTTGGTGAAAGAGGTGGAGTTTAGTTCACATGCTCTGGCAAACATCATCCTCCCTAATAAGTAACTAAATGTATATTTTTTTTTATAAAATTTAAATTTTGGCAGTGGCCAGAACCTATAAATTCATAAATATTTGTAGCCTGCCTAAATAAATTATCTGAGTGCCTGTTTGTCCAATACATAAGGGAAAGATGTGTTTTATCCCCACCCCGAGAATAGTGAACCGCTGGGTCAAATTCATTGTGTATTTTTCTGCACCTTAAATATAATGTCATATATTGGCTATGTGCACATCAATTAAAATTATCAGAAGAAATATTTGGGGACATGAAAAATAGATCCCTCATAAATCTTTCTATGAAATACGTTTTGGGCTGTCTCTGCTTTCAGAAGAGACTTTATTATATGTGGGGTTCCTTGATCATTTGCTCTATGAAACCGATATATAAATGGTGACTATCTTTATTTACATGTACTAATCTGGTTGAAACGCTAGTTGAGTCACTTTCAGGAGCCAAAAGATGTCTTTGGTTCACAGCAAGCTCTTCCTCACCATGAGAAAGTTGACTGAATGTGACTCTCTGGAGGGGGAAAGGACTTGCATGGTAGTCATCTTCAGTCAAGAACCTACGCACTCAGAAGAGTTGAACACATTCCCACAGCTATGCTAATCGTTCCAGTGGAGCTGATTTTTATGAAGTTCTAAGAAACTGGTACCAATGACTTGCCATCTTTGGTCTTATAGCTCTATCTGCTTGTCATTTTTATTACAAATGAACACTATCTTTTGTCAAGTGTATGAGGTTACTATAAATTCTATTTGTTCATTTTACAGTTTTAACACAGTTGGAAGTACACTTGGAGGAGAATGCTAGAATACAGCTCTAAAACTACACCATGAGATATTCTATAGCCTGACTCTCATTGTGATGAGATTGGATGAAAGCCTTGGGAAGTAAATGTCTCATACACATTTCCTGTGTCATTATTGTCTGAGCAAACTGGCCCAAGGTTATTCCTTCTCATTTAGCTCACTAGGGAAGATCAGAACCCAACAGTGTTCTGGAAGCAATGCATGCAGATACTTGTCTCCCACCGAAGAGACACAGAGCAGAGTCACTCAATTAGCAGAATCCCCCTGGATCCGCTGTCTGTGCTTCTGGCACATTAATAAAGCTGAGACCTGAACCAGGACCCCTGAGGGCCTTTCCCCATAAGTCCCTTGTAGAAACTTCTGGTGTCTAAGCAACAGCTCGACTGAGTGAGGCAGCAAGAGTTCGCTCTGAATTGGCTGCACTAGGAACTGTGCTCAATGGTCTCAGCTGGGAGTTGCTCTGGTGTATTTGAGTAATGGCATTTCTAAAGCAAATGCCACGTGCTAAAGAAACTCAGAAGTGTCAACCCTGAATGCAGGGAAGCCTGTATCCTCCAAAGGAATCAGTCATCTGTTCTTCTGCTGTGCCAGCAAAATTCACAGCACAGAGAGTATGGGTAATTTCCTTTTTATCCCTGAAGGCTTAGGGTAATTATTTTTTGCAGCCACATTAACTCTTATGATTAGCATCTTGATGGGGTTTTCATATCTATCTGAGTGATTTGGAGAGTCTAGGTAGCTGTAAGTGCACATTTATCAAGAAGAGGAGCGGAACCATTTTTATTCATCAGTAATTCACTGAAATGAATTGTCAGTCTATTCTCAGACTATGAATGTGTATGAAAAAGATCTTAACAGACATCAGCAAAACAGGTACCCCTTCAATAAACTGCTTTTCATAGTATAAAAATTTTTGCTATCAAGAAAATGGGTCAGGCTCACTGTTCTTTAAACCTATCCTGGATTAGTTGAGAGATACCAATATGAGGCACATTTTATCAGATGCTCCAGGCAGAATAACTTTTATTTTTACTTCTAAAATTAGGGGCACATCTATTTATATCTATTTGAACTAGCCATATGTCCTCAGTTCATATGGGAATCACTATTTCCCTTTAATCTTGTAGATTTGCCAATAGTGTCAGGACCAAAAGTATTTACATTTGATCCTTTCCCACCTATAATCTCAGACAAACCATGTTCAGTAAAGAGAAAGCAACAGCCAGGGAGTTCTGGTTACACAGCAAATTACAAGTATTAGATGGCCCCGGGGATAGTATTCATGAAATTTTAAATGTTGATAGCTACTATTCTGTGTCTGCTTTTCTTCTCTTAACTAAAAAATAGCTGAGTTATTTTTAAATGTGTGTGTGTTTTTCTTTCTTAGTTTTTCATTTGGCATCTCTTTCCCCCGGGTTAACTAAAAGTTAATCAGTGATCACAACAGATCTTTCTCCAGGAGCTCAAAAGGAGGGCTGAGGAGAAAAACACTTTCCACAGGAAGGCAACACTAACAAGACAGACAGTGGGACAGCCTGACAGCTAGGACAGCTAGGCTCTCACTTGCAAAGGATTCCTCTTCTCGCACTGTGTTCAGACTTTAAACAGGCGTAGACTTGACTACATAAATACTTTTGCTAATAAGAAGCCTTTTCTTTTAAAGAGCACTATTTTAAAAATAGCTATTCAACATAACAATCTTAATTTTAATGCAACAAATTACAGTTTTCAACAATTGAAGTGAGCATATCCTGTCACCATCAGCACACACACATTTATATATACTTGTTATATATAGATGGATATAGCAATATCCATATCTATATTTGTCTACACACACACGCGCGTGTGCACACACACACACATACACACACACACGACAGTAGAGCTACCAGACCCTGATGAACAGAGTGTTCTAATTTCATATTCCCTTAATTTGCACTGGATTTATTTATATGGAGTGTTAAGATGCCATTTGCAGAGCTTATTGGATTTGACCTTGTCAAAACTGAAAAAGCCACAAAATTTGTGGTAGGCCAGCATGATGCCTAAGGACAGACCCTGTGCTCAGAGGCAGCACGGGTGTTGAAGACAGGTGTAAGTGCCCGTCCCCCCAGTCACCACCAGTGTGGGGAACTTCTCCCAGTGCCAAGGTTTCTGCTACTGTCAGACCCAAAGAAATTTTGTTTATTTAAATGACTGTTCATACGATTTGAATTCTACTACTGTAAAACATAGATTCCCCCATAGAAATTCAATAAATAAAGGACTTAGCCACTGAATCAAGGAAACAGAATTCCAGTTTTCAACCTTCCAATGGGATTGAGGCTTGACCCAACCCACGTCAATTTGTACTGCAATTGGTCTTCCAGGAGGCAGAGGGCGCAATGGCCCTGCAGGCAGGTCCAGGAGAGACTGTCTCTGTTCAGCAGTTCCCTCTGTGTGTCATTGGATGAGGCTGGAGCTATAGCTGAAGCCATAGCTGCTGGACCGCGACAAGGGAGGCTGCGCCTCTTCACCCTGTTCCGTGGCGTAGCTGGGAAATGTCTGTGCACGAGACATCTTTGAAGAGCCAAACCCATGACCTAGAAAAGAGGACAGGAGAGCTCCATTAACTATGAAACAATTCAGACATGCACAGGGCTATGTTAAAAAAAAAAAATCCCAAAACAAACAAACTCAAAAAATACTTCAGCAGCAGACTTCCAATCCTTGATACTGAGCTTGCTATTGGGAAGTTGGCTTAAGACTCTGATGCCATTTATGAGTTAAAAATGCATTTGGCAATCACTATTTTCACCAAATATATTTTTCCAACAATTCTGGATGCCAGGTAGCTAAGTAAATTTTCAAGGAATCTCAAACTTGTCCGACAACTTTTGAAATAAAATCAGGAAAGCTTTCCCCCCAAAATAATTTTTGATGGAGAGCCTGCTAGCTGCTTCCTTTTCTTTCTTTCTTTTTTTTTTCACTTGCAGCATTTTATTATTATTTTCCTAAAAATCTTGTGAAGAAGCAAACTATATTTTGCCCTAACCAGAATCCATTACTTATTATGAGAAGCTTTTACACTGACAAAGTTAGGGGCCCTAATTTATCCTAGTGGTTTTTTATCAGTCTTTGTGACATGGTAACCCTCATGGTTACTAAGATGGCCGAAAAGTTGAGTCTTTTTTTTTTTTTTTTTTTTTTTTTTTTTGGTACTGGGGATTGAACTCACAACTTCATGATTGCTAGGTGTTTGTGCCGCTGAGCTAAAAGATGAATCTTATATAAAATATATTTACTAAAAGGTCTGTCTGTGCTCCTGGCTGCTCAGTTGTACTCTTGTAATGAGAAATCATATAGCACAAACTGAAATAGAAATGATTGCTAAAGAATAATCTCAGAATGTTGACAATGTATGGAGAGACGTATGTGGGCCAAGGCTTCAACAAAAATCTCCCTGGAGTTATCTCATCCTATTTTAACCAGGAATTACTCTTCATGTTTAAGAATTATTTGTACCTAATACATGGATTTCATGGGAGGAAAAGAAATACGGATCCACTATGAGCTGTCCTTTTAGAATTCATACTAAAAGAAATAATAGTATTTAGTTTGATTTATATTTTATCTGATTTCTATAATAAGGAATTCAGAGAAGAATATCTGTCATCATGCAAACACAGAACATCTTGTCTGACCCCTCCCCCTGCGTCCAGTTTTAGGGTCACAGTTTGGTAATATCCTTACAGTGCAGAAAGTTTGACATTCAGGGAGTAAACCCAAGGGATCTGGATAATGAAAGAATAACTAAAGCTGGTAAAACTGCTGAAATGTTAAAAAAAAAGTGTGAAACAAGAATAATACTTTTTGAGTAAAAATCACTTTTAATTTCACTCCGATTCTCTTTTTGACTGTGTAAGGGACATCAGATCTTGGAGAAGAGCAAGGGTGCGATGGCCGATCTTCATTGTGTCACCTTGATTGGCGTGGGAGTGATGAGGGATGCGTAAAGCACACTTCTGGTAATGTCTGCATTGGTCGTGGAGCCAGGACCTTGAGTACTATGTGTGGTCCACAGGCCCTTCCGCTTTGGCGGGGTTCCATCTCTCCTCTGCTTCCTGGTCATTGTGAACTCAACAGCTTTGCTCCACTCTGCCCTCCACCATGATGTTTCGGTCTTGGAACAAACCAGCCCACGAGTTGGAAACCTCTGTAACTATGAGCTAAGTTAAAACCTTTCTTCCTTTAAAATGTGGTTGTTGTGTACCTGTCCCAGCACCAAGTAATATAGAAAAACTGGAGGCAGAGAATTGGAGCTGTTACTATGACTTTGTCTGACCATGTGGTTTAGAAGCTTTTGGAACTGAGTTTTGGAAGGAAATTAGGAAAGATTTGGTCTAAAAAATCTTTAGAATGCTGCAAGCAGAGTCTGATAGGTGATTCTGGTCACAGTTCAGAAGGCCAGAATAATGATAAAAATGCATGGTAGGGATCTGGTAAGCTATCCCTGATAGGAGCAGTACAGGAAGGTGCTGGAATGAAGCCGACGATGCAGTGGAGACCTCAATGAATCAGTTCATAGGGATGTGGAGTATTTGCTGAGAAAATGTGCATGCCATGAACAGAAGGCGCCCACGCCCTCTGGAACTCACATCTCATCATGTGGCTTTGATGCAGAGTATAGAGATACAGGATTTAATATTTGCCCTTTCAGATTTTGATCTTCATTTGTTCCAATTCTTTTTATCCCCCATTTCTCACTCTTGGAATAAGAATATTTACCATGAGCCATTGTATCTTGGATTAAGTACATTGTCTTGACTTTTATAGAGGTACCAAGGTGAGTATTTGATTCCAATCTCAGAAGACATTTTGTCTTTTAGAAAAGTGTTACAATGTTGCAATATTAGGGAAGGGATGACTGTGTTCTCAGTTATATGCAGTGTCATTGTAACAGTGAAGGCAAAATCATTAACTAGCTTTTGTGTTTATTTGGAGATAAAAAGTGCTCTAATGAGAAGTGTTTGGCGCCCAGTTGACAAGTGGTGGAATATAATGGTTGAGTTTAGTTGTTGTCCACTTGGTTATTTTCGGAGCCACGGAGGGCAATCACAAAGCATGGTTTTGGATGTGTTTTGATGAGTCTGTGAGGCGTGGTTGGGTTTATCTGGTTCCCCATCCTTTCCTCTCTGTCAGTGTTTCACTGCTCTGCTTCCCAGTCACCCTGCCCTTTATCATGACTCTCATGCTTAGAAGTCAAGTAAACATGGCCTGAATTCCTCCACACTGTGACACACATTAAGTCTTTCCTTCTTTAAACTGTGGGGGGCAGCTGTTGTGTTCCACTGACAAGAAAGCTACCTAAAACAGTGCACGTTTCCTTTTGCTGTACTCCTGGGAGTGGCTCTGGAGCCAGGTCCCACTGAGCTTCAGAACTTGCTGGTCCTTTAGATCCTGTAGCTCCTCCACTGATCTTCCAGGGTCTTATAACCTTGTTTCCTCTCTAGTGTGTTTATGCCTGAGCATGGCATGCATCCCAGTGTGTTGAGTATTCCCTAAAATTTGCCCATGGCTTTTAAAAGAGCCCCTTCTTTATGTTCTCTTAGAAATCTCAATTCAGCATGTCTTCTCTGTCCTGCAGCACCCTGCTGATCCATTGAAGCTGAGAAGTAGGCAGAAAAGGGAGAAGTAAGAGCCTTAGAGGACTGATAGTGCATGATATTTGGGAGTCGTTTGAGAAAAGCTAGGATGGGGTTGAAGGTGAAGCTGAGAGAGGAGAAGTTAGAAGAGTGGCTGGAGGTTAGAAGTGGGATGTTTGGAGGTACAACACAGGTATATACGCTTTCTCTGTGACTCACTAATGTGTGGTCAGCAGTGACGGACTCACTGTGTTTCTGATGTTCTGAACTTCCTAATCTGCAACTTCTGGGTAGTAATAAAAGCACTTAGTTTATATTGTTCTTTTGAATATTAGATAATTGAGTTAATTCATGGTGTGTACTATCACACTACTAAAGTTATACAACACTGGGTGGATCCCCAAGCATGACAGTTAACTGGGATAACCAGAGGTGGCATTTTAAATGACAAAGTTCTGATGTACAAATTTGACATGGGAAAAGGCACTTTAAACTGTTAATGACATTTCTCTCCATATCTTACCCCTGACTAATGAAAATTCATAGTTTTTATAAGGGAGAATACTAGTATATAGCAGCATAAGTCAACTGTAAAGCCTAACATTATGACTATTTTTTTGGCCTTGGCTTTGTCTTGCTATTTTACCTGTTTGATAAATATCTGAAAGAGAGCAAAGCTGAGGAACACTCCATTCATATGACCTATGGGATGAAAACAGGCTTATGTTGTGAATTGAGACCAGGTTCTTCTTATAAAGTTTTATAAAATCCTAGAACATTAAGTGTAACAATCAAACCACACAAGTAATATTTATCAATCACTTACTAAAAGTCTAAGACTTTACATGGAAGACCATCCATGGATGGCAGGTGCCTGACGTTAGAGTTTATTAAATGGCCTGGGAATGATAATCAGATAAGGACAGCACGCAATACACACCAGTCAACAGTCCACACAGCTACTACCTACCACACAGAATCAGAGAAGAGGGCATGGAGCTCTGGAAAGTGTTACAGGACCGTGTACATGATTTCAACCACACAAACTACTTTCCCCTTACAGTGTGCAGATTCAACACCATCTTGGGCTTTTGAAACAGACTTAGCTCTTCTGTATTTTGTGAGGCTCATTTCCTGCTGTGGGAGAATACAGTCTTCAGGGTTTTTGGGATATTGAATAAAACAATATTTAGAAAACCTTTTAGAATAGTAGGTATGCTATAAATGTTAGCTTTCTCCTTTCTACACTAAAAGATTTATATTGTTGTAATGTTTTTGTTTAATGTTCACCCAAACACTTTCTCTGCCATCAGTGTTTGACATATATTTTGAATATTATTCTTATTCAAAGAAAACATTGCTTTTTCCTCCATGAATAATTTTTGCTGAAATTAATCCATAATTTTTCTTACTTCAGCCATTTCATTGCAGACCACTCACAAATTATACTACTTAGTATAACACATCTTAATCAGAACTGAAAATATGAAAGCTTTATAAATGTTGTTTGATTTTTGGCAATAACAATATAGGAACAAAAAAGATAAATAAACATTTTCTCAGCATTCATTTGAATTATGTACTTAAGCAGTTTTGATAAAAGCACAACAAAAATCAAATTTGTGGCTTAAATCAAAAACTTGATAGAACAGACCTGTGCATCTTATCATATAAAGTCTAGATAAATGCTTTATAAATTTTCCTCTAATACACCAAAACATAATTTGAATAAGTGCTCCAGCAATCTGAGGATGCACCATTTAAAAGTAATAAATGTTAACAGCTATTAAGTCTATTTAAAAGTTCTGTTGAATTTTGATTTCTATCCCATTTTGTATTCATATTTAACAGAAAGTAATGTTCGGGACTATATATTCCAGTAATGTTGCCAACCTGAGAAAAAACACCATATTTACCTGGTTGTTTTAGATACCTTTGGAAAAATGACATTAATACAC